AAGGGATGAATGGCTGAAATACATCAAAGTAACATATACGTATATGGTTGAAATAGTTAGCTTTAACTAGCTTTTGCCAGTCCTGCCAGTAGTATGAATGCAAAAGTAGACAAACTCACCTAAACATTGACAGTTTAATTGTATGAAAACCGTATTGTGAACATCTGCTATTACGTCCACTTTTCACTTTCATCTGACAAAAAAAAAGGTTGGTGTATGATACCAGTGCAGACCTCCCAATGTTGTCTCTGCACTACGCATTTAAAATGAGTGTGACCCGAGGCCTGAGGGGCATTTTATACCCGGCCTGGGTCTGCGGGGAGCCTGGCTGTGAGCGGGCACACAGCTGTAGTGTGGAGAAAGTGGTGCAGTGCCTCTCTGTGCCTGGCTGAGCACTGTGTAATGAAGCGTGGCAGAGGAGAGAGGAAAGGAGTGTGTCTGCAGGGTAGGCATGGCCCTCGTGTTCCTATGCAACCAGGGCGGATGGCGAGGTGATGCAGGACCGCCTCTATTCTGCTTACTTGTCATGCTGCTGCCACGCTTTCTTTCGCTCGTTCTGGTGAGTTGTCCTTTTTCTCCCTCTTCTCCCATCCCTCTTCCCTCCCAACACATACATGTGATGCTGTCAAACAGCCTGCCCCGTTCCCCAAGGACAATATGCTAAATGTCCCAAACCTAATCTATCCAACATTAATTATCACAGCAAATGACAAGGAATTAAGCAGATTTCTGTGTGTAATCTCAAATCAAACTTTGGCAAAACAACCATTCAATACGTGTTAAGTATCTCTATGCATTTCTTATTTACTTAGATTAGACTCTCTTGTTTTCTTAATTGATTTCTCCTCCTTCCTGTCTGTGAGACAGTTGGCTGTTCTCGACCTTTCAACCTTATGTCAGAGTCATGTTGGGATTTTGTGTGTGTGTTTGTGTGGGTGTGTGTATCGTATTAGAACTTCCCCATGTGAGGAATGACCAAATTGTTTCCATTCATTGTTTAGGAAGTAAAAAGCAACAGTAGAGAAGCAAGATACAAGCCGTGATTATCCTTGGTGAATGATTTTCATCCCCGGGAGAGCATTACACTACTACAAAGACAAACTCTTGACATATTATCATCTATTGTGAAGCCACACATTTCCTGCGGGCAACAAGTGTGGATCTATTCTTAGCCGATGGCCTGGGCTTCAGCCCTTTCTGCTCCGGGTCCTCATAGGTTGGATAGGAGGAGGTGTGATTCAGTCCTGCCAGGTCTGACTGTGTCACTGTAGCCTACTGTGTCACTGTAGCCTGTGTCCAGCTGCAGAGACGTTGGGGCCCATCGACCATCTGTCCCCGACCAGCAGATTCAAGGCTCGGTCCCCAGAGCGGGGAACGAGGGGGTGGGAGCAAGATGAGGTCGGATGGGGGAATCAGCTTTGTGTTGCCATAAAGCTGTCTTTCCTCTCTCCTAGCAACGGCCTCCCATTTCCTTGGTTTTGGGCGGCATGGTCCTGTTGGTCGGTGTGCACGGCCCCCTCACTCACTCTCTCTCTCTGTCCTATTTATGGTAATGAGCCATCTGCCCTCTCTGTAACAGCCGCCCGAATAGAGGAGAGGCTGGGAGGGGGGGTCTCTGACAGACAGGAGTCTCTGAGACAAAGACGCTTGTCCTGTTGTGTCTGCCTCTGCCCCAGTGGATGCCTTCAGATGTGGATGGAGCGCAATGATGGCGAAGAGCGGAGACAATTCTGAAACGTGTTTTCATTTGCATTAGTGGAGATTATGTAAAGCAGAGATGTTGTTTGAAATAAGGACTTAAACATAAACTGTGTTTGTATTTGTATGCATCTGATAGAGAGACAAATAAAGTAACAAGAGTGCTACAGCCTGCAGGCCAGTAGGCCTACGTTAAGTGGTTGAGCACAAAGAGCATTTGTAATATCAGTGCTTGGATGACCCCTCCACGATCACACGCACACACACACACACACACACACACACACACACACACACACACACACACATTATTGACTCCTGAGCTGAATATTACACAACCCCACTATTATTCAGAGCTGCTACATGGATGTGCCTCTGTCACTTGGTGACACGGGAGAGTGGTGGGCACACCAGCCAATACAGAGCCACCCAGCATTCAATAGACCTCTGTTGCCACTGGATACTAGATTGGTTACCAAGCCAACACATGTGCCTCACTGTCATATCTCCAACAGATTACTGTCGACAACAACGGATATCTTGACAGTTAAGCTCCCCATGCTCCAGGTTTAGGGAAAGTCATATTTATTTAGTGTATTATTCTAAGAGGACTGGTGATTCAGTATGAAAAATAGAACTTACCTAATGACTTACCGAAATAAAGATTACATAAATGTTCCTTCTGGCCATGGCAACATTGAGTCTAACCATTTTATCATCACAGGACAACCGCTAGTGCATTACAAACACAGAGCCTGTTTGTTTGTCATTCAAACTTAACGCTGACAAAACACGTCCATTCACAAAAAAAGGATATTTCATAACCACATAACTTCAGATTTAACATTAAAAGACACAAGACTAAAACCAAAACAAGAACTCCTTCAGTTGGTGGCAAAAGAGTAGCCAATGTTGGCTAGAGGTACTAAGGGTTTTGTTCAATTCAATGTCCGACACGAGACTCTCAGCTGACTCCTTTCATGAGGTCAATCACCATTAACCTCATCAGGCAGACAGACGGACAAAGTCACCGATGGGTCAATGACCACAGCGCAACAAATCACAGATGGTCCTGCTGATTGGCCTGGAGTTGATTGCAGGCATAAAACAATCCAATATGACAGCAAACAGATGCTTCAACAGTTATTATTAAAAACTACAAATGTGTAGGAAAACTAAAGATGTTGCATCAGTTGGGATGATGCTGCCACCTAAAGGCAGTTGCAGGGTAGTTTTGCAGCTCAGTGTGACTCATTCACTGTAGGAAGTTAATTAGTCTGTGGAACAGTATTCATTTAGATCAGCCAAAGAATATGCTTATTAATTACCATGTCGTCTTCACAGGCACATATTGGTATCCTACAAGGGAAATATTTACACAATCACAAGGTTCAGCAGTGTCAAAAAGACTGAGGTTTGTCAGAGGGGAGATTATTCTTCAGTGCATTTGGCAGTTTGACACTTTTAAGTATGACAAACAGCAGCATCCTGGGGCAAGGGGTGTGGAAAGAAAAGATAGTGACTGCTCAGAATGTATGTGAAGAAAACGTCATATTTTAGCGTAAAAAACTGAGAAAGGTGAAGCAGCGTTCAGACAGGAGAGACAAAAAGAGTATCATGGGACGCTCATCTTCGCACAGCATACAGTGAATACCATGAGGTAGAGATGAAGAGACATCTAGTGGTCAACCAGGCTACTGTGCAACAGTATGCTCATTTCATGTAAACTGAGGAGAGCAACAATAAACCCAAGTATGTCAGTATGTGAGGAGTTGGAATGAGAATGTGTTGGTGAGGCCCTTTCCAGTGTATGGTGCTGAACAGCACCACCATCATATAAAATACCCAATTTTCAAATTGCAATAAGTCAGGTGCCATTTAACCTGCAGTTGAAACGCATTTGTGAATTCTCAGATAAGATAATTTGCTGCATAGGTGTGGTATGTGTGGCTATATTATCATTTCCACATTTACACTCTAGCATTTGTTCTGTCAGATCAAAGTGTTCAATTTATTCACTTCATGATTGTTTGCACCAAATCATAAAAACTGTGAACTGAGGGGTAAAATGTTGACATGCTGACTTGGGAAGCCATGAGGTTTATTCCTCCTCACAACCTGAACAAGGACTCTGAAAACATGTTTTTTTCTGGTATTGTTTCAACAACGAAATATGTGTAGTTTTATTCTATACTCAGCCGTCATGAGAGAAACGTCTCAGCATCCAGCTGTCAATTCCACTAAAAAGCGAGCATCGCTACAGTCTTCTTCTTCACTTGGTGTGGAACACACACACACACACACACACACACACACACACTCCTCCCAGTCTGTTGTAAAACCTCAGAGCATCCCAGGTGCCAAATCACTTCAACAGACTCTTCTTAATGTGACAGAACAGTGGATCAATACTAAGGTGACCTCAAAACACTGAGTTTCTCATTTTCATTCAACAATGTTATTATCTGAGACACTATGCAATTTAAGATTACGTGATTGACAGCTTTGCTTTCTAACCAAGCCCGCTTCTTATCACTTCATACAAAGTATGCATGACAATAATAATGAGACACTTTATTGATCTCTGTGGAGAAATGATCTTCTTAATTGCCTCTTCTCTCAGCTCAAGGAACTTTCAGTAGCCTAGTATGGTTTTTCGAATTGGACAAGGACAGCTTTCTTATCACTGAGGGACCGATCTGTTCTCACAGATCAATCTTGTATTTTATTTTCAATGTATTTTTGCAGATTATGCTGAATTAATTATGAATCAAATGTTATTTTATAGGTCCCAGATCAAGCAACACACACATTGTTTAATAAGATATACATTTTGTTGGATAAAGAGTGGTCAACTCTATCATAGCATGACAAAATAATAATATGATGTGTGTTATTAGGTATTTTGGTGTCACTGACAGCAATCATAAATAGATGGCAATCTGTTAGATTAAACAATGTGGGAAAGCTCACATTCCTTGATCAACTCGGAGATAAGTAGGATAAGGTTTGTCTTCCTCTACAAGTAGGAGACTGCCAATGTGCCCTTTAGCAAGACACTTTACCTCCACCTACCAGGATTATTATAAGGACTGTTCAGCTCAAACGTGTAGGCCTAAATGTGAAGTAGAGTCCTGCTGCGACGGACAGCTGATTCTCCCATGATGGATGCTTGAATGGTTCAGATCCTGTTGAGTTACAAACGTAAATACAAATCACCGTTGAATAGACCGCCGTGAACGACTTGACGGCGAGAGGTCCTCCCATGTGATGTGACTGAAAGGCCTGACGGACTGTGCCTGTCTGATATGGCTCCTCCTGCTACAGTAGAACGGGGCTAGACGTAACACCAGTGCAGAGGAACGGGAATAACACACGGCGATACGTTGTTTTCTCCAGGTGCCACGGCTAAAGATGGCAGATCGTGCAATGCTGAAGAAAAATACATAGATGATGTGCTTAGAGTCGCCTCTTCTGCTGTGAAGGCTTCGACGTTTCTTTAGGATTACCAACACCGCAAATGAACTCCGTCAGAGCAAGTAACGTTAGCAGAAGACCTAGACGAGTCTCGAGGCCGCGCCCGGTACAGCCGGAGAGGAACCACCAGGAAAGAGGTGATGTTAGCTTCGTTTAGCTAGCGTTAGCATTGCGGAACGGCTTGTCAAACAGCTAGCTTTAGGGTGGAATTGTGTTATATGCTTGAACATTTATATGTAACGTCATTATTTATGTTCGTATGCAGTGTGTGCACCCCGCCAACGTTAATTGTTGCAATAAAACACTATGGGGTTAACGTGAACAGCAGTCTTAACGGGTCTCTTTGCAGTCAGGAAACGCCGATGCTTTTATGTTTGTCCCTAGCACTGAGGCCGCGCTTTGTTTTGCTTATTTTTTGCTCCGAGACGGCCTTTCTTTTTCTTATCTGACCTTATATCTTTGCTGAATTTCGTTTTTGGCAGCTAATGTTACATTACCGGTGAAATGACAGGCGATAGACAATGGTTAGCTACATTCATGGGTGTCAAACGCGAGGAAGGGTACACAAAGTGGTTTCGCCAGTTGTCATAGTATGCTAACTGGACCTAGCCTGTGCTAACATAGCTGTTATTATTAGCATGTTTGCCTAACTATCTGCGCTTTGGCGTGTTTTATAAAAGCACCAGCCCGTAACGTTGCATTTGGCAACATTAAAATGAAAATGCGTGGATATCATGCTTGTTGTTAATGTAACCACGTCACTGTTACGATTCAGTCCCATTATGTTTTTTTTCCTTCTGAACCGCTGTGTGACAGCAGACGGTGCAATGAGAGCGATTGACTGCAGTGTTTTAAAGTAAACACTAGCTAAGGATGCTCTGCAATCATAGTTGCTATCTCAATCTGGGGAGCATTAATCGGTAACATTACTGGTTTGTTTCTGAATCTGATTAAACGATATTTGGCGGACAAGTGACAGGTTGTTCTGTTGGATCTTGCATTATTGAATTGCAATTAGCAGCAGAGGGTTAACTCTTGTTTCTCACAAAGGTGATAGTAAACATAACAAAACAACTAAGGTAATCATGTGATTATGTTGCCAAAACAATCTATTGGAGAATGACCTGTCGTCCAAATAATGATTTATCAGCTTTTTTTTTTTTAGTGCTTCACCTTGCCTCAATTCATCTATCAGTCATGAGCTGCCATGGGACCTTTCCCTCTGCCCAGATGTCCACAGTATGGCTCAGTTGTCATTTTAAGGCGACATTAAATAAATAAATGATATTGTGGTCGGTAGCAGATCGACAACAGTATCTTTCTCTATTTCTTATCATATGGTGTAGACTTTGATATACACTTCTGGTCTTAAATATACACTTCTGGTCTTAAATGTGTTTGTTTTGGTTAAACAAAGCAGGAGAACCTATACGTTAATTCAGTTTACAGCTACAGAGTTACGTCGTTTGTAGTGGTTACTGGCCTCGTAGCCGAGGAGAGTCATCCTTGCAACCAGAGCAACAAGAAGACAGAGTTTGTATCTCCTATTTGGGGTAGCTGTCCACTCAGTATGCCATGGTGAACAGCCTTATAAATAGAGGTCTTCTTTAGCTCAGGATTTATGCTATGGTTGTTCTGTTGAGTGAATCCTCTCTTGATGGGATCTGTGATGAAGTTGTAGCATACAGAGCAGGTAATAAAGAAATCTGTTTTTTTTGTACAGTGATTATAGGACACAAGTGAATACACATTGTGTGTTTAGACATAGTGCTTTCTAGTGTTAGCTCAGGATTATCCAGTTGCTGTTTTAATAAGAATATTTGAAATGCTACATCATGTGTAAGTTGTTGGCAACACATCAAAAACATGTTTTGTATTTCCCACTGCTGACTATCGTACCATATTTTAGAGTGATTAAATTAATAGGATTGGAAATGATCTTTGTTTTTTTTTTTTACGCCATTTGCAGATGAGGACGTTCCTGCAGATATGGTCGCAGAAGAATCCGGTCCAGGAGCTCAGAATAGTCCCTACCAACTTAGAAGAAAGTCTCTACCCAAGAGAACAGTGTGTCCGACAAAGACTAACATGGAGGTACATGTACCAGGAATCCTTACAAGATTGCGTAAAGGCCTAAAGATACAGATCTATTTTAAGAAAACACAATAGTTAAATGTTTAAATGTCTCCACTGACTTTTTTTTTTCTATCTGCAGGGTGCTTCCACTTCAGCCACAGAAAACTTTGGACACCGACCTAAGCGCCCAAGAGTTTCAGGAAAGTGTCAAGACGTACCAGGTAATTAGGAACACATTATTCGAGAGGTGGAAGGCTGTGTATCTTCCTCAAGGGTGCATTCATTGTTGTGATTTCCACAGGGTGTGAGGGGCAGGTTAAGAATTAATTACTCTTCCTTAAGTACAATGATGGCACTGAGGTGACCCATCAAATATCAAATCAGGGACATATATGTTGGACAGTTATGCATTATAGAAAGTGTCTTGTGAAGACCTGTTTTTTTTGGTTCAGTTTTCTTGCAAAATTGTATGTTTCGCTTTCCTTTTTACAACATGATAGCTGTTTATTGCATAAATCCTATTTCTGTAATGTGATTTGTATGCATGTTGATACAGTGTTGCACATGGTGGTGTGCAGCAAGTATCAGCAGCACGGCCCTGTGATGCTGTATTCACTCTGTAGTCCAGGCGTAGCTTTCTCTTAGTGTCGACTTCTGGGATGGAAACCTGGGGAAAGTAGAAGTGTAATGGATCTTCTCTTTAAAAGCCTCGTTGGTAAAGACATGAAGTAGCACCATGAGTTTAACAAAGTAAAGTCTGTTATTTGTGGCGTTTGGAGTCTTTCGCGTACGGTGCAGCGCTTGCCAAAGCATCCGAAATAGATGTTTGTCTAGGTGGCATTTGGTTGTGGCTCTCCTCTCAGCATACATGGCTTTGTGGTGTCCGAGTAAACGGTCACATCGCCTCATGTTGGGCTCTCCACTCAGTAGTTCAATGTGATCTGTTTCTAAGACAAAAATGGCTTCCTAACAGCAAATATGACTTTTTTTTCTGCACATTGCATCTTTTCGTTTCATCTTCTTTAAAGTTGGAAACAAAAAGCGACACAAATATCAGCGTTTTGTTTTGTTTATGTACTTACAAAAGTAAAGGCCTCCATATAGTCCGCACAGCCGGCACACGTGTGAGGAAGTAGTGTTTTTGTCCATGAATTGAAACAAGCGGGTTACCCCTGAAAGAGAAATGATAATTATATGTAATATACAAATAGCATTTAAAAGCTTCACTTATTCAAATGCGTCTCGTTGTAGAATACAGTATTCAGTGTTTTAATTACACACCCTGAACTTTACTAGGAAGCAGGACTAAAACGTTCATTGATTCATGTTTCTGTAGCCGGGCTGGTAAAGCAATGCTCACTCTGGTGGAGTAAACGAAAGAATTGTTGTAATTAAGCTGTGACTGAGGGTCAAGTGTTGACTTTTAGCTTTTATGGTCTTTGAGGGGGTTTACATCAACATTGGATAAACACTTTGTTTGTACTTGTAGCCTTGTATATACATCCTAACCCCCCAAAAAATGTGAACAATGTATTTGGACAAAGCTCGGGCAATTCGGATTGTTATGCGCATTCATCCTTTTTGCAGAGATTCGTTGCTATTGTGACTTGAGGGTTAGTTCTGGACCTTGCTATAAATACGCTCCTCTGGTTGCAGCTTGTCTAACCCCACCCAAAACCCCGTTCTTTATTCTAATTCCACGGTCCTCCTCCTCCCAGCAGCTCCAGCAGAGCAGTATTTGCAGGAAAAGCTTCCAGACGAGGTGGTGCTAAAGATCTTCTCGTACCTGCTGGAGCAGGACCTGTGCCGCGCAGCGTGTGTGTGCAAGCGCTTCAGTGAGCTGGCCAACGACCCCATCCTCTGGTGAGACTATTATATTTATATGTATGTATATGTATGTATATGTATATGTATGTATATGTATATGTATATATATATGTATATGTATATATATATATATATATGTGTATATGTATATGTATATGTATATATATATATATATATATGTATATATGAATATGTATGTATATATGAATGAGTGTACTGTGCAAGAGCTTCTGTATGTTAGACTGAGACAGAAATGAGAGCAGGATGGTGTTAATTGTCGTTTTTTTCACCTTCACATTTCAGGAAGAGGCTGTACATGGAAGTGTTTGAATACACGCGTCCCATGATGCACCCTGAGGCGGGGAAGTTCTACCAGATCAACCCAGAAGAGTACGAGCAGCCGAACCCGTGGAAGGAAAGCTTTCAGCAGCTGGTATGGATCCTCCTGTGGGCTTACTGAGCCACTGACAGTCTGAAGTCTTGCCCTGTTGTAACTTTAACAAACACATTTGTCCTCCGAACCATCTGATGTCACATTTTATTATTACAGGTCTTTATGTTAGATATATGTCGTAACGCTGACTCAACACTAGAAGAAAACCTACTCAAACCTTTCTAAAGTGCTTTGAAACCTAATGATGTGAAAAAGAATCCAGAAGTTGAGAGATGTGGGGTGGGACCATTGAGCACAAGTTGGTTCTGCACTCAGCAAATTACAGAATTGATCAACTTTAAAAGGCAGTGTTTAGGAGACAAGATCCACTCTGCTTTCGTTTAATCTTTACATTGATTTCTTTTTTTGTTGCCAAAAGTTCCTCCAGTGTGACTTTAAATCCTCGTGTGTACAAAGAGCTAATGTCACGTGAAAGGGCAACACCACAGGCCATAATGGTGACATTCAGTAAGCAGGGGATGGAGGACAACTACGTTTTTAAACTGTATTCCTTCGTGATATATTGACCTTTTTAGTATTGTTTTCCGTGGAAAACATTGTCTCAGGCATTTTTCGAGTGATGGTTTCCCCGTCTTGTCCAAAATTCCACATCAGTGCAATGTCTTTGTCTCTCTAATTGCTCAGTATGAATTATTTTGTTCTTCAGTGTGTGAATAATCATGTGAATATTCTTTATGTTTTAGTATAAAGGAGCACATGTGAAGCCGGGCTTTGCAGAGCACTTCTACAGTAATCCTGCCAGATACAAAGGGAGAGACAACATGTTTGTATGTCCACTCTTTCCACCATTTTATTTTGTCCTTTTTTGATGCTCCAGTCATTGATCTCAGTTTCCATGTTTTACTCCAGTACTATGACACCATTGAGGACGCTCTGGGTGGGGGTCAGGAGCCTCACTTTGATGGCCTGATATTCGTCCACTCTGGCATTTACACAGACGAATGGATCTACATCGAGTCGCCCATCACAATGATTGGAGCCGGTATGTGTGTGCGTGTGTCTGTGTGAAGTCGTGGTCACAGATCCATTGTGCATTTGTTTCGTCTCCAACTGAACCTTTCTGATTATTTTTGCAGCTCCCGGTAAAGTAGCAGAGAAGGTCATCATAGAGAACACCAGAGACTCAACTTTTGTATTCATGGAAGGCTCAGAAGATGCTTATGTTGGATACATGACCATCAGGGTGAGCGGACTTTCTCTCTGTTCTCTCTTTCAGGGTTACATAGCCAACATGTGCAGCACTGTACGTCCATCCTTTTGCAATTGTCATCTTTAGATTCAGTGACTATTGTCCCAGTTGTTGAGAGCCGGTTTGTTTCTGCTGCAGTTCAATCCCGATGACAAATCCGCCCAGCACCACAATGCACACCACTGCTTAGAGATCACAGTCAACTGCAGTCCCATCATCGACCACTGCATCATACGCAGCACGTGCACAGGTAAGGCAGCTGCTCCTTTGGTCCACTTCAGTGGTTCCCAGCCTTCAAAGGGGCCACAGGACGCATAAGAAGAAGAAGGTTGGGAATCACTGCTCTACTTCTAAACACTGAATATGTTTGAGCTGACATTAAGTTTAGAGGAATGATCGTGTTTGTTGCTTTTTGATGGTTGCACATTTTGACGTGGATATCGGTGCACTAATGCGTCTCCGTCCTGCTCGTTCCAGTGGGGTCGGCTGTCTGTGTCAGCGGCCAGGGGGCGTGTCCCACGATCAAGCACTGCAACATCAGTGACTGTGAAAATGTCGGTCTTTACATCACTGACCATGCACAGGTAACGCACGCATTTCACCCACGTTACAAAGCATGACACTAAGACTGATTGACCAACAGCTGCAGAGCTCATCGTGATAGCATGATAAAATAAAATAAATTGGTAAAAAATAACTGAAGTGGACATGAACGTGTTCAAAGCTTTAAACTGTGTTTCGTTGTTCAGGGAATATACGAAGACAACGAGATCTCGAACAATGCTCTGGCCGGGATCTGGGTTAAAAACCACGGCAACCCGATCATCAGACGGAACCACATCCACCACGGCAGAGACGTCGGCGTCTTTACATTCGACCACGGCATGGTGAGATAGAAAATACTTGTTTTTCTTTGTGTTCAACTGTGTTCACTCAGGTATGATTAGACAGTGTATGGTGTAACGACGCAGCACTGCAGTTACTGTGGAAGTATAAAAGGGTTCTTGTTCTTTGGAATGCAAAGTATTCTGATCGGACGTACAGTAATGTCGTGTTCCTCTGTACACTTCCAGGGTTACTTTGAGAGCTGTAACATCCATAGGAACCGCATAGCCGGCTTTGAGGTGAAGGCGTACGCCAACCCGACGGTGGTTCGTTGTGAGATTCATCACGGTCAGACGGGGGGCATCTACGTGCACGAAAAGGGCCGCGGGCAGTTCATCGAAAACAAGATCTATGCAAATAACTTTGCCGGGGTGTGGATCACCTCCAACAGTGACCCCACGATAAGGTCAGTGTGGCCCGGCGGTCAAAGGTCAAACACTAACTTCAACGTGTCATTTAAAACGGTATCAATTTGGGCTCTGGTCCATCCACAGTTCTGTGGTGTCCTAAATGAGTTGTTTTGTCCTAATACAGGGGCAATGCCATTTTCAATGGCAACCAAGGTGGCGTTTATATTTTCGGTGACGGCCGAGGCCTCATTGAAGGAAATGACATCTACGGTAACGCCCTGGCAGGAATCCAGATCAGGACCAACAGCTGCCCCATTGTCCGACACAACAAGATCCACGACGGCCAGCATGGCGGCATATATGTGGTAAATATAAACCCACGGTGTCACAATGTTTTTTTTCTGACATCTTGGACGGTTTTCACTTGTGCAGCTTTCTTCTGCTGCAATTTGGAAACCTAGCAGTGATGCTCGGCTGCTTTGTGTCACACAGCATGAAAAGGGACAAGGCGTCATCGAAGAGAACGAGGTGTACAGCAACACGCTGGCAGGAGTGTGGGTGACCACGGGCAGTACGCCAGTCCTGAGGAGGAACCGGATACACAGCGGGAAGCAGGTGAGATGACAGGCCAGTCACAAGTCAACTGATGAGAAAAGGAATGTAAAGTGGAAAATACACCTTCGTGAGGTGTATTCTGTTATATGGTGTGATGTAGTCACACTGGCGTATTTATGTCATACTTCATATATGTCACCACAAAATGTCAAACTGGCTTACTTGTGTATAATTTTAAAGAATCAGTTATGATCTGATGTCGGTAGCTCCGTCATATTGAAAGAAAATAATAATAAAATGCATTTTGATACCAGGAATAAATCTGAGCTAATTCATATTATCACTGTTATTTAAACAGGTTGGGGTCTACTTCTATGACAATGGCCACGGCGTGCTGGAAGATAATGATATCTACAATCACATGTACTCTGGAGTTCAAATTAGGTTTGTGAAACACTACACTAAAAAAAAATCACCTCAATGAAACAAAGTTTGCATCATTGTGTTTTTGTCCTGGTGTTGAGTTCAGCAGTGAAGCTAACTAGCTAGCTTTGGATCATCTGTCCTTCATGTGCCCTCTTTTGACAGGACCGGCAGCAATCCCAAGATCAGGCGGAACAAGATCTGGGGAGGCCAGAATGGAGGCATTTTGGTTTACAACTCAGGTGAGAAGCAGACGTCTTTTCTGTTTGTTTTGTTTTTTATCCACATCGCTTTACAACAGTTCTTCCCTGTTGCCAACACGAATATGTGTTTTTCAGGCTTAGGCTTCATTGAGGACAATGAGATCTTTGACAATGCGATGGCGGGAGTGTGGATCAAGACCGACAGCAACCCCACTCTACGGAGGAACAAGATCCACGACGGGCGGGACGGTGGGATCTGTATATTCAACGGAGGACGAGGTACTCATCACAGTCTGCGAAACAAAAAAAAGTTCCGTTTACATTTAGTGTTTCTCTCCAAAACGAGAATTTAAATCATTAAATCGATTTTCATAATCCTGACAAATAACGTCAGTTAGGCACTTTGTACCTCTAAGACATTCGTACGGTTACATTTTCACGTCAGTGGTTTGTGTTTGTCTTCAGGCTTGTTAGAAGAAAACGACATCTTCCGAAACGCCCAAGCAGGAGTCCTAATTAGCACCAACAGCCACCCCGTGCTGCGGAAAAACCGAATATTTGACGGCTTCGCGGCAGGTAAGTAACACCTGCACCCCGTCTGTAATCTGTCATGTAAACGTCCTCACAAACACTTCTTAATGAGGTACAGTATGCCTCGCTAATGGGGACTCTAATATGAACTCTTTCTTTTTTTACTGCTAGGTATTGAGATCACCAATCACGCCACAGCGACCCTAGAAGGCAATCAGATCTTCAACAATCGCTTCGGCGGATTGTTTCTTGCATCGGGTGTCAATGTTACAATGAAAGGTGCTCTCTTGGTCACATACATTTTTGACAAACCCTGTAAACGGACCACAACGTACCAATTTCCTCCTCTGCTTTCTTTTCTTCCAGATAATAAAATAATGAACAATCAGGATGCCATTGAAAAGGCTGTGAGCAGAGGTCAGTGCCTGTACAAGATTTCAAGTTACACCAGCTACCCAATGCACGATTTTTACAGGTAATTTATGTTCATACTCGCAATCGAGGTGACTCGCGGTCAACTGTTTGCCTGTTTTTGTGATCGTGAACAAACACAATTTTGGGTTCCCCCCACAGGTGTCACACCTGTAACACAACAGACCGCAACGCCATCTGTGTGAACTGCATCAAGAAGTGTCACCAAGGGCACGACGTGGAGTTCATCCGACACGATAGGTCAGTCTAATTGATCCACATTAGTAATAACCAATGATGTGGTTTGGATATATTGTTTTTTTCCCCCTCTAAATGGAGTTTAACTAACATCATAATTTGTCCTCTTGCAGATTCTTCTGTGACTGTGGAGCGGGGACGCTGTCAAATCCCTGCACATTAGCTGGAGAGCCGACTCACGACACAGACACACTGTATGACTCCGCTCCTCCTATAGAGTCCAACACACTGCAGCACAACTGAGCTCCAGACCCGAGCTCCTCGTGCGCTTCAATGGACAAAAGACACTTTACGTTGTGCAGTGGAGGAGATCCAAACTACAATACAGAGCATATTAAGCGACTTAAAGAAAACAAAAAAAAAAAAGACTTGGACATGAATATGCTTAAAGGAGACATTTAAGAAAAAACAAAAAAGTCTTGATTTTGGATGCCTCGCTTTTTTCTTCAATTATTTGACTTTAAAAAAAGACATCGGCGGGAGAGAGCAGCTGACTCAGGGTTTGTGGGCGTGTCGGTTTGGTGAAGCTGGTGAGAGATGGACAAAAAGCCGCAGAGGCTCACCTGCTTTTAGGAAACAGAAGAACAAAATACTGCAGCCATGTACAGACGCTCCGTCAGAACAGGCACAACTTTTCTCACGAGGCAAAAAAAAAAAGGCCCCAAATACAACAATGCTTCCATCACTGGGCAACCGACGTGCTCGTATGATATGTACGGCAAAAATGACCTAGCACTTCAGCTTTTTTTGTTTTCATCAAGACAACTGTTGAGATTTGATTTTAATGCTTTTTGTGTAGTTTTGTATTTTCATGCAAAAATCTTACTGTACTTGAATGTCTTTATTTTATGTGTTTTTTTTGTTATATACCTTTTAGAATAGCTGTAATTCTACATGTCGCAGTATCCAACTTCTTTCTGTGAAAGAGAAAAGAGGAAAACACTAAACATTTTCTCCAGCAATGTTGACTCATTTACATTTGCAATACCGATGCTGAAATGTGCTTTCACCAGACTTGTATATATATTTTCTTTTTGTTTGGAGTAGCACCATCAATGTTTCTGTATGGGAGCTGAACAGGTTTCTGTTCTTTTACATAATCTATGCATATTTTGTTTATTCTGTTCGTATTGGCCCGTCACGTTAAACCCAATTTACAGGAAGAGAGACGTTTAGCCACATGGTATTCTTCTGAAGATGCAGCCTTTTGCTTTCCTCGTCACATAAGAGAAGCATTATTATGCAGCCGTTAAACATTTGGATGGTTGTAACTTCTGTGGTACATTGACTAACTATAAAATCTATATACATCTTAACCTGTTTTAGAATCAATGTGGTTTTATTTTCTTCTTTTAATAAAAGGCACAAATGCTGCTTCTTGGTCTGTTAAGATACTTTGTCAAAGAAGCGGAGACGAGTCTTGTGAAAGCTCAGCTCATTTATGTTTTCCCTTGTTTACCAATGTTGCTGGAGAATTTCAAAGGCTTTCACTCTGCTGAAGCTGAGACAAGTATCCATACACAGCGCTATATGGTTCCATCGCCGCCCCCCCTCCCCACTCATGTGTACTGGTGATTGTGGGTTCTCATACAGACTGAAATGTATGCATGTATCATAACATCTAGACTTAATATATTGTGAAGTATTCAATAACCGTTATGTAGGCGCTAGCGTGAATTAAAAGGGTTTAATTTCCTAGATGAAACATTGTCATTTTTTTTTTTTTTTTTAAATAAACTTTATTAGATCATTACAGTAGTGTTTTTTCGAGTGCTGAGGAAACAAACATTCAGCGAGAACAAAGCGTGTTTTTAAGCTACAGGGCGTTGAGCATCTGAGCGAGGGAAGAGAAGTGTGTTCCTCCCGGTGTGGCGTCTTCAGCAAACTGGCAGAGCTTCCTGCAAGACAAGAGGAGAGGGAGGAAAAGCTCGTAACTAAGCTTTCTGCATTTATTAAGACCCCCCACCCACCCCAAATACCAATACATACTTGAAGAGTCTGAGACTGACGGTGCTCTTCTCAAACTCTCTGGCCTTCCTGTGTCCTGATTGGATGACCGCCTCTGGCAGGCTGGCGAGTCGAGCGGCGTTGAACCCGTAACTCTTGGGACAAGCGCCAGTGATGAACTTGTAGAGGAACGTGATGGTCTCTTGACTCGGATCCTCACATTCGTTCTCCACCATGCACGCCTGAAAAGGGACGACACAGGGACGTCATCCTCAGCACCAGGGCTCATGGTTTACACTCAGGTTAAAACAGACAGGATGCAATGTTCAAATACAAGTCTAATGATAATTGTATAATAAAAGCTTTTTTACATTTTAACATTCCAAAGCTGTCTGCAACGGCTCGCCTGTGCAGTATGGGCTCGCCTGTGCAGTATGTACTCACCATGTGGCCCAGCCGCACAGCGGGGTTGTTGGCGTAGTCCTCCACCAGCGAGTGGTAGTGTGTGGAGAAGAGGGTGCGACAGCAGATCTTCTCAGCGAGCTCCTTCACGACAGCGCTGGCGATCGCTGTGCCATCATATGTGGCTGTGCCCCTCCCTGCAAACAATCACAGCTGAATGGCTGCACTCCGAAAAACACCACAAAAACAGTGCAGACTGCCCATAACGTTCCCCCGTTACTACGAATAAGCAACAGAGACCAACCTAATTCGTCCAGAAGCACAAGCGAGTGTTTAGTGGCGTGGTGCAGGATGCTGGCAGTCTCACTTAGCTCCACGAAGAAGGTGCTCTCTCCTAAAGAAGACACAGATAGTACAAGCTTAGACCACGAGATGAGAGCTTGAGACGTATGCGTTACATTGCAGGAGTTCATGGTGTTACCAGCCATGATGCGATCGGAGGCTCCCAGCCGAGTGAAGACCCGGTCGACCGGTGTAAAGCGCAGGCTATCGGCGGGAACATGGCAACCCAGCTGAGCCAGGATGATTACAAGTCCACACTGTGCAGAGAGAGCAGCACAGTGTCTATCCCTTGCTCCTGTAGTTTTATACACAGTATATAGATCCATAAATGATTTACCTGTCTCATGAGAGTAGACTTTCCGCCCATGTTGGGCCCCGTGACGAGGACACAGGAGGCGTGCTCCTTTCCCTCGTCGGTCTCACTGCTGCCGGGGCAGCCGATGAAGACGTCGTTGGGGATGAAGTCATCGCCGAAGAAGGTCTTGGTGACGCAGGGGTGGCGGGATCCGGTGAGGTCGAGGAAGGTCAGCACCTGATCGTCCCCCTCAGGGAGCACCACCTGTGGCCGGGTCATCGGCCCGTCTCCGCCCTGACTGTAGCGGGACAACGCCAGCAGCACATCTGGAAAACAGTTGACGATTCATTAGTAAGAGAAGGAAGAGGGGTTAAGCACTGAAACACTTGAAAACTACTTTTTTTTTTTTTAAATTAGCTACCTGCTTTCTTAATATTTTATGGGATGATTTTGCAGCTCTGCTCATAATACTACATAAATAAAACCAAACATAACCCGTGGCAGCGCGACGATCTACAAAGCACATTATCTCGCTGCACCAGAGATCAATGATAAACTACACAATCATCTCTCATTCTGTCAGGACAAAAAACACAAGTGCACAATTTACATAAGAGCGAAAAACGAACTAATTACTGTTAAATTTGTCAAGTTTGAATAATGGAATAGTTACTCGACGACAGCAAGCACTCCGACTGGTGCATCAGCAGCAGCTTTAGTGCACATTATGGAGGCACATCTGTAACATCTGCAGGAAACGTATTCAGAGCAGAACACCTGCTACGCAAACTCGTTATCTAAACCCCCGACGGCACACTTTCTTTCCTGAGAAACAGTTTGTAAGACAAACAATACTTTGTGTTTTGTACTGCAGTAATGTAGCTGCATCACTTGAGACATTGCATTGATGCATGCAATAAAAAAATAATGCGGATTAACAATAACAAAAAGAATGTAGTTACCAATCACCGCCATGCACTCCACAGCGGTCTTCCAGTCTTTGTAGTTCTTGTCGAAGTTGAAGAAGAGTCTCCTCATGCAGTCCTTCAGGGCCGCATCTCTCTTCTCCTCGAACCCTTGCAGCTCTGAGAACAGCCGCTCTGTCTCCTTGGTCACGTAGCGCTTCCAGCCTTTCTTCGTAGACTTCACATCGTACTCCTCGGGAACGGTCCCCTTGGAGAAGCCGTCCGGCACCTCCATCTGGAAGCGGTTCCGCCCGGTTCCCCAGTACGACATGTTCTTGCAGCCGAGTCTCTTCTTCTGTTGGTCCAGGTAGTCCTGCAGCTCTCGCTCGCAGCTCTTGATGGAGGCTAGAGCCTGGTCGAACTCCGGGTCAAAGCCCGCTTTGGGGGTGATGACCCCGGTGGTGCGGGCTTTCTGGTGGTCGAAGGCTGTCTCCCAGCGCCTCAGTTCGGCAGAGAGGTCGGGAAAGAGGCCGTCCTCCTCACTTTTCGGATGGCCGACTTGACGGAGCAATGCGGATTGAGATTCGCCCGACACTGGAGTGAGGACGGTGATGATCTCCTGCATGGTTTTGAAACCTTCCAGGGCCGAGAGGAAGTCCGCTATCTTGCGCTTGCTGTAGGTGACCTCCTCGTAGAGCACCGCCCGGCTGTCGGGGTGATCCGGGCCCTTCAGAGGGGTGCCGATGCTGTGGATTTTACTCAGGAGACGCTCCAGATCTGGGAGCTTCTTCAGCAGGTCTGAGACCTCGGTGGCCTGAGCCGGAGCGCCCATCAGGTCTTCCACCGCATCCAGCCGGTCCTTGATGGACGTGGGGTTGCACAGAGGAGCGCAGAGCCACTGCTTCAGCAGCCTCTTGCCGAACGGGGTCGAGCAGGTGTCCAAGCGCTCCAGCAGCGTCCCTTCAGTTCCTCCCGACCCGTTCTGAAAGATTTCCAAGTTGGCTAGAGTCACTCCGTCGAGGACCATCCGCTGACGGGTCTGGGCAAAGAAACTGGCCGGTCCGGCGGCTTTCTCCAGCTCCACATCGACGGGGACGTATTCTTCAAAGTTGGCCAAAGAGAGCAGCTCTTGGTCGACCAGACACTTCTTCAGGTAGAAAATGCATCCGCCCAGTGCCGACAGTCCCAGCTCACAGCCCTCTTTAGGAGTGAGGCACAGGGAATCGCTCTCAGAGGTCATCATTCTTAGAAGAGGGGGGAGGAAGTTGGTCCCCGTCTCCTGATCCGTGCCAGTAGCCTCTCTAAAGTAATCTTCTTCTAAGAGGGTTTTCAGAGTCTTCTGAGCGTCCCAGAACTGGGTGCCTGCATTGAGTCCTTCCTGCAGAGCAGAGGACAGAGAGGCCTTGAGTATTTTGCGCGTTTCGACGGATGGGTTCCCCTTTTCAAAGAGCACTTCGGCCGGGGCAAAGTGTGCGATCAGGGTGCGCAGGCGGGAGCAGTGACGATCGTCTGGGAACTGGCCGATGTGAAAATAACCCACGGAGGTGTCGACGAAGCAGACTCCGTAGGTGCGGCAACATCCCGAGCTTTCCTCTTCGGCCTTTTCCTTTAAACTCAGCAGGAACTTGCTCTGACTCTCGGAGGGAGCGCCGTCCAACACGCTGTAGGTTTGGGTACCGCGAGTGATAATCCGGCACACTTCTCTTCTCACCACGCGGTCGAACTTTGTGGGCCTGGCCATGCTCTTGCAGCGTGCCTCCATCATCTCTGGAGTCTCTGTCTGCTCCACGCGGGCCACCTTGTAGCCTTTCTGCACCAGGACGTCGGAGAAACGGCCAAAGCCGATCTCCGGGAAGCCCGAGTGCGCCCAGGTCCCCTTCATGAAAGTCAGTCCCATCTCATTGACTCCGATCACGGCGTCCATGTGGTAGAGCTCGTAAAACTTCCCCACCTTGAAGAAAACGACCGTGTCGAACATCTGAGATTTGAGCTGCCACCACCGGCGTATACCGGGACTGAGTCTGTTGAGGAAGTCTTCCGGCACATACAGGGTGGTGGGGTCGTAGTCGTCCTCGGTCTGCCGCCGCCTTCGGCTGTCCTTCCTCCTGCCATCCTGACACCACTCCAGCTTCTCGTGGTCCCAAACTGTGGCGCCTCCACCGGTGCCGGATCCGTTGGCCTGGCTCTCAAAGCTGTCGGGGGCCGAGAAGGCCGACAGGCGAGACTTTGTGTCGACTGTGACGGCTGCTGGAGCTCGTTTTGGTGCGCTGGACGGGGTAGCGGGCGTCTTAGGTTTGGCAGCAGCGGGCTTTTCTGCCGGACGTTTGCGCTTCACAGGCTTGATGGGGCTTTCTGCTTCTGACTCGTGTGTGCTGCCTTCTTCACTGCTCACCGCTGCTGCTGCTTCCTCCTCCTCCTCCTCCTCCTCTTCCTCACTGCTGGACGCAGCCTTTTCTGGTTTGAACTCCTCATCTGATCCATCACTGTCGGAAGCTACGATTATGCGGCGGCGCTTGGCCTTATTTCCCTGTTCTGTTGAAACACGGGATGAACGGAGACTGACTTTGGATGACTTCACTTTCTCATTTTTCTGTTCTTCCTCATCACTGCCCTCTTCATCACTCACCGTTGACCCGTCAACCTAAAACAAACAACAAAATGGAGGTAAAAATAAAATAATGCAACCTGTAATACTGACCTTTTAACTAGTGTTGAAGAGTTATTACACTGACTATTGTAATTACATAGTAAATGCAGACTTTTATGTCCATATTACTGACAGACATCAATTATTATCACAAAGTTACCTCCATTTCTTCCTCATCATCATCCTCTTCCTCCTCTTCCTCATCAGACGGATCCATGCAGATAGGCATCTTCAGTCTTTTATCTGGGCTGTCAAACATAACTCCATCAGCAAGCTCCATTGAACGACGGATTGCAGGCTTGCCGCTGAAGAACACCCCTCCTGTTTTAGCATCGCTGCTGTCAGAGCCTGCAGAACCGTAAAAATGACAACGTATCATTAAACTATAGCAAATACTGTCATGTAGCTGACTGTGAGGAAAAGCACATCTTAGTTACAGCGTTAAGATTAGAATGGTCATTGATTAAGGGATGAATTGTAGCCCACCGTGGTACTCTCTGATATACTTGGTGCTGACCCATCCTCTAGTAGTGGGTTCATCAAAGAAGTGGACGTGTATGCGCTGGTTCCGACCGCGGCCCCTCATCTGCTGTCCAGTCAGAGGTTGGGGTACCACCATGCACGGCCACCAGGGGTGTCCCTCGAGCTTCGCCCACACAAGGGCACCAGCACTGAATGTGCATGTGTTGCTGCTGAAGGAAGGAGAGTCAGTCAGTACATTGGTTTACACCAATACGTGCATATCATAGTCAACTAAGTAAGAGTGTCAACCCACGTGTAGAACAGTCAACAGCTCGTCTTACTGGCATTCGTCTAAATAATCCTCAAACTACTCCTGCTGGTCATCGACATCTACAGTAAGATTGTGTCAAACGGACATAATATTGCAGCTCTGAAATGATGATGTGGTCAAAGAGAATTCAACAACTGTTTATGAAACTGGAAAACATCTGCACTTCTACCAGTAAAATTAATAAACTACTGTCCTTTGAATATCTCGACTAAACTGATTTATGACTAAAGAAAGTGTCGACTATGCGCGGGAATTATACGGGAATAAGTGATACATTTATTTCAAGATGCCAATTTAAACCCCACAATATAACTTAAAAAAGTAACAATTTATAAAAAGGTAAAATGGTGATATATTGGAAACTTCAAAGCGTAAGTAGGCTTAACATCAAAAATATTATTCACATGCATATTTTAAGTATACATTTGTTTTTTGCAGAGTTATTTTCCATTGATTGAGTTGATGTGAAGCATGATGTTACCTAACCACAGACTCCTGCATCATTGCTATGTTTGCATTGAGGACCATATGACTTTATTTACGTTGATATTTTCTAAAAACAAATCACACACAGTCTGTTATGAGTGACGGGGGGGGGGGCATTAGCTCATGTGGCTTCAGACAGTCCACATTGCCACACTTTGACATGTGACAGTCATTGGTATGTTTAACATTTAATCTCTGCATCCTGCCTTGTTAAACTGGAGACATTAGCAGAGATTTAAGCACTAAAAGAACACTCACGCGAGCAGAGTCTGCAGGACTCATCAAGTCGTCTGTGATTAGAAAGAAAGTTTAACTTTCAAGTACGATTGAAAACATGACCAACTTAACCTCTCAAATGAAAACAAAGGAAGTTAAAGCTGATTCTTACGATTAACCAAACGCATGTTTTGGGGCCTTGCAGGATGCAGATAATCTTTAGCAGAAAGGGAAACACAGTGAAACACGTGTCTCCAGCAATTACACGGCTCCCAGCCTTATCACGGCTAACTCACCTTTGTTTGGCTGCTGGGGCATTGTCGCCAAAGAGTTTGTTGAATCCTCCTTTCGGAGACTTGTTGCTTTTCGGTTTGACTTTGCTGGTCTTGGGTGCTTGCTGCGGTGTCTGATTAGCTTGCTCTTTCGGAGAGGAGCTGGACTTCTCCACGGAGGAAGGCAGGTCCGCCTCGGTCGGTGAAGGGCTCGGCTTCGGCTTGGAGACCGACGGCGGAGACTTGGTGAAAAAGTTGAAAAGGGAGCTTTGCTTCGCCATGTGTGCGAGTTTGAAACCTGCTATTACTGTATTGTTGAGATAATCCGGACGGCGACACCTCCGTGCGTCTTCTAGCAGCTAGCAAGACAGCGTCAGGGCGCGAGAGCATCCACCAGTTCGCGGGAAAGATACACGAGTGTTGTGTGAGTGGACACGAGCCTCCGCCAATGACAAGCGAGTACAGTACAACGTGAAGTCACGTGGTGTCAACATGACTTCCTTAGCGTTCAGGGCGGGGTACTTTTTCCTCAAAACTGTATTTCTAATACAGAGGATACATACATTACAGGGCTGTTGTTGCATTTCACATCACGTCAGCCTCTTTCTGACCACTCAGTGTTTCTTAAGCTGCATTCATGGTCCAAAAAACGTATCTAGTTCTGTTTAGTGTTGCTTCATATTGAGAAGTATATATAGTAGAGTAACAGTCCGACATTTTGGGAAATTAACCACATAAAGCAGAAATATACACATGGCATGGCTTGATACTAGTAATATTATTTTATTCTAGTAAAATTGTGTCTGATGAAGGCAAATGTTCATGCAAGAGTTTGGATAAAACATCACCAACGAAAACACAGACGCCCCTCTGAACATGATCCTTGATTATGGATCCTGTTGGCCAGTTGATGTGATAAAGTCCAGATTACAGCAACTACAAAACATAGTTTCACACTGAAAATACAGTAGGAATATAATCTTTGGTAAAGATGAGGAAATCCAGGAGAAATATGAGGAAAACATTATAAATTGAGAAAATGACATCATTGAATTCAAGAGGTCGCATAATGAATGAGGAGAAATCTCTTAAATACAAACAAATGAAGGTGCATTTGTACGCTGGAGGTTCATTGCTTCTTTTTATCAAAATGCAATTCCCAATAAGGCAACTTTCCCTTTGATGAAAAGACATTGACATGTCTCTGATCATCATTGTGAATTTGTATTTGGTCTCACACTTCACTCACAGCCATCAAATACTGTTCATAAGTCCTTATAAGAGTGTTATAGTAGCTTTCATACAATAGCTAATAACTTACAGTGCTGTCACTTCACTTAAAACTCATAAAGTTATGCTATAACGTGTTATTGATGTTTGTAACACATTATTTCATTTCAGAAACGTAGAAATTATAATCTGTTCTGACACGTTGGAGCAGTTCTCTATGTGTCTGAATAACTGAATAAAGTTATGGTAGTTATAATGTGCTGTGTAACACAGGACTCATATTCTCATTATTACTACGAATATTAACAGTATTATTGTGATTATCGTCATTATTAAAAACTTGTACACAATCATCCACAACTTCCCCAACACTGACAAACTCCCATCTGCCCATAAACCATTATATTCATAATTTGTTGACAAGGCAGAGAGAAAGATAAGCAGAAGGGAAGAAACACACACACACACACACACACACACACACACACACTCATACACCCCCCCCCACACACACACACACACAAACGCCGTTGTCACTTTGACATGGAGGTATAAAGCATCATGAACGCTGAACTTATAAAACATTATTTCCACATTTTTTTATTCTTTATAACCCTTAAGAAGAGTTTTATGAAGCCTTATGAATTTCAAACAAAGAAACAACTCAATCTCATCAAACTTGTGCTGCTGCTGGAACTCTTATCTGGCTGAAGGAGGAGGACAGCACACACTGTTTACTTCATCAATCTCTATTTATTTACGTTTCCACATGTGTCTTCTTCAGGGGGAGGAAGAACACTTCTTCTTCTTCGTCTTTGGGGTTTTACGGCATCAATTACGTGGCATTGCTGCCACCTCCTGGATCTAGATCAATACTGTGCTATCTGCATACCACAACCTTTTTTTTATTAAATCAGTGTTATCTTCACACTAATGTGTATGTTCACGCCGTTTGTTTGTATTTAGTATTCTTTCCTTTTCGTTTATTAAATACTTGTAGTCATCACACAGCAGCAGGATCGATGTGTCTCCACATTGAAAGAGGCGTTCTGCGCATTTTACGCACGTGGCACAGCCTCGTAAACTTCATTAATTAGGCCTTCATTAATTGTTAAATGTCTCATCAAGATCAGTGAGGATCTAACGGTAGTGACTTGAGCGTAAAAACATCTGGAAGACAGCAGCCGTCCTCAGGATGAGTCCATCTCCACCAGAGCTGTCGGGACATTTTGATTGTATACCTGAAAATACTCAATTTGCTACGGATAAAAAAAAATGAATGTTATATCCTGTCGATTGTTGTTGCTGCTTAAATTAAAAATCGTTCAATATTTGCAACAGAGACAACACTTTTACGTGTGTTATTTTACCACACGTGCTACAGTATGGCTAGCCGTCTCATTACACAGATGAGACGATCATTACGCACAGACAAGAAACACTGAAATTCATAATTCAATTCACTTAAACTGAAATTGAAAAACACCATTAAGTCAACACACAAGAAACAACAACTGAACATGTATTATTGTAGTTTAAGATACTCAGCAGTATTCTTTAAAAGTAGCTCCACGTTTAGCTGCAACATTAACACATTATTGCATTAAAAAAATAAAAAGTTTATCATTTTGAAATGAGCCTTTCTGCATAATGACAACTTTAGGTATTATTTGATGCTTGTACTTTTTACGTAAGTAGAATTAACTTGTAACAGATTTACTCTACTACTTCTACTAAAGTACTTCTTCCAGCTGGAAACATTTGTCAAACATCAACATAACTTCCTCCGTTTCATTACAAGCAAATAACTTCTTCCCGTCTTCAAATAACTTCGTCCCGTCGCCCGGCGGCAGCCCCGTCCTCTCCACCGCAACACCAGCATGCTCGCTGCTGAGGAACACTCCGGCTTCACTGTTCAGACAGGCACACACACACACGCACACACACACACGCACGCACATTGCTAGTTGTCATTTTTAAAACTGTGTTTATTTATCTTCTGTAAAAGCTCCCAGCTGATGAGATGTAATAATTTAGTCACCTTAAAATTATTTTAAAAAACTGTATATGTTGCCCTCATCAGACCGCAAAGATCCTGAAAATAAGTTTAACAAAACTGAACTTTTTATATATATATATATATTACGGTAAGGGAAGCATAGTATGTTGGCTCTGTAATCTGTGCTGGTCTTTTACCACCAGCAGAGTGCAGCAGAATACTGGAAGCTTTCTGAGCTCGATCTTAAAATACAATTCAACTTTGAGATGGCAGGACACATACTCCAGTTTCTTTGCAACATGCTTCCACTGTTACCAATTAGAATAGCAAATAAATGTTGATTTGGCCGTTTTGTAAGCATCAGAGCACGAGTCCTCATTTAATATATACAGTGGTCTTGTTTCAGCAGAAATCTTCAGCTAAAACATTACAGTGTACCTACTATCCAATAATGTTCTTCCCAGTTGTGCTGGACAAAAAAACGTACAATGGCTAATTTATGTTACTCGAGTAAATAAATCCTGCGATAAACACCGGAAAACGAAACAACCAAACATCCACCCACATGCAGTATGACTTTTTGGCATACGGTGTGTGGGTGATCGAAAGCATCTAATTAAGACAGCATTATGAAACCTTACAAAGCAGTTGTTATGAGGAGCTTCTTTTATTTCAGTCATTCAGACTAAATTCACCATCATTAATAATCAATGAGTAAACATGAGCTTATCATGGCCTCATTAACATCCAAAGGGTACACATTTGGATGGTGTTAGGTGTATCAAATATGCATGTACATATTTAATATAAATACGTATGTACTATAAACAGAGTATCTCTTAGCAGAATCAATTCAGTTACATATGTTTGAAGTACATATAATTAAATATCTTTTACTTTGGGGAAAACATGGGAATTCACCATCTCTTCACTTAGTAACTCTCATCAGCTTTCAAGGAAGCAGCAGTCTGCTGAAGAGCAGCTAATTAAGAACGCCATAGCAACAACGTAGCAACTCATCAAGAAGAAAACAAGAAAAAAACCTAGAAACCACCGCAATCTTCATTTGTCAACTTGTAACAACTAGTAACCACCTGGCAACACCTCAACTATACCACTAGAAATGTTAGCAACCACGTGTAAACAACCTTTTTACACAGCAGACCTTGTGACATGTCATAGTATGTAAAGCACAGTAATAACATGAATCTGTTCTTTTCAAGTGTCCCAGTAAGCCATGCTAGTGGGACAGCATTCATTCTTTCGATTATTTACATCTCTCTTTTATGTTATCGCTTCACAAATGCAAAACAAAAACGACAAGAAAAGACAATTTTCCGACCAATTAAATGATATCTTCCAGTAATCTACTGCATCCTTGGCCCCTTGTCCCTGCAGACTTCTTGCTTTGCATGTGCATCCTCCTCTCTGTGGTCCACAGTGTGTCAGAGAGCGATAGAATACAAGACACAAAGTATTTATATTCCAAGGACCTTCGGATGTGTCCTTAGATGACAATATAAAACATTTGAACCTTCATTGATTTGGTCATCACCCAGTCTTAAACCTGCTCCAGCCAAGATGAATGTGTACAAATACACCCACCTCAAACCTAAATCATGAACTAGGGCTGCAAAAGGGAGGGTCCACCCACCTCATTGAGATGCTTCAGATTAAAGATCTTGTGCCGGGAATGGTTCACTTTGGAAGCTTTTTTGTACACGGAAAGTGACAAATTGAACCTCGTGAGCAGCAACACACAGCGGCAAACAAGTCGGACTGTGCATTGGCAGATAAACCTGTAATACAATTTCATTATTTCCATGCATACGGATTAACAAGAAGAGGATGTTGAAATATCAACTCTTTACTGTCCTTCACTGCTGTTTTCTGCTGCTGTCTATAGGGGACACCAAATTACAAAGTTGTGTAGTGCAGCTTTGAAAGATGAAAATGTTTTTTAACTGTAGGTTTCCTTCATCATTTTTTAAAATGAGAGAAATGGGCTGATTAGCTCTCTTGCCAAGAGTTCGAGGAAAAGTTTCTTATCTAACACTCTGCAGGAAAGCGGGTTTCTCAAAATGTTGAGCTATTCTTTAAACAAAGTGCTAAATATTATGATGACCTGTTATTACCAATACTATAACTGGGGATGTAAAATGGAGTGCTGTTCTAGTC